CTAAAAACCCTAAAAACCCTAAAAATGCATTTCTTGCCAGGAAGGGGAGGAGGCCATGCTGCTCGAGGCAATCTCCACGCCCAAGGCCCCCTTGCTTTTGGGAACACGGCAGAGTGGTTTAGGGTTTAGGGTTTAGGGTTTAGGGTTTAGGGTTTAGGGGTTTAGGGGTTTAGGGTTTAGGGGTATGCGCTGGGTTTTGCGATGTTATGAGAGCCTCCAGCCCGCTACGTAGATCCATGTCATCCGATCTCACCCAAGTCTCATTCACAGGCGGCCCAGAATTCTCAGCCTGAGCTGCCGGAGGAAGTGGGCTTTTTCAGCCCAGCAGGTGGCCGTGCTGAGAAAGGGGTTGGGTTGGGGGATATCGGGTCCATGATTGTGAATCGAGCTGAACTTTTCGGATTTTTTTTTGGCTTTTCGCCTTCTGCGGCTGCTTCCACAGCTTAAAGCTCCAAAGTGTAGGGATCCTCCAGCTCTGGGTGTTGGCCGTGTTGGCATATTTGGTTTCATCGCATGGGTGGTTCTGTTTGGAGTTATGACCTTCGCGGTACAGACTGTGTGCTAGCATGGGGTAGCACTGCCGAATTTTGCTCCATGGCACATGATGGTAAGCTGACAGCGTCGTTGCGAGTGACGCAAAGCATCCTCACAAAATGCATCGTGCTGGAAAAGGCCCGAGCGACGAGCCCAACGGCAGCAGTGATGTGCCCGACCCCGCGAATGAAGAGGTGCGCTAGCACGTGCTTGCTGGGGAAGTTGGGGAAGATGTGCGACTTCGCCTGACGTTTCGAATTCCGGGTTAAGTGAAATCGCAGGAGATAGAGATTGTGTTTGCCGCCGGTGGTCCGACTCCATAGCGTCGAGCTCACGTGAGACGAAGAAATGAATCTGCAACCATGACAGAAAGGAGGGCGCGCGCGATTCGGCATGGTGTTGTTAGGTCTTGGTCGGAATAGGGGCTTCTCCTTGCCGTCTGTGGGCATTCTCTTTACCGTCTGTGGGCAGGTTGCAGGCGTGTCTAAAACACGCCCAAGATCTCGACGGCTTCCAGACACCAGTCTTATTGAATTCAGCAGTCCGAAGATTGTTGTGACGCCCAACGAACTCTGAGCTCACAAAGCGCAATCAGCACGGCAGAGTTGTTTCGTACCTGAAGTGTAGAAGGGGCACCACATCTCAAACATCCCAAGCTCAGTTCCAAGTGATCAGCTCCAGAAGCAACTCGAGCACCCCCAAAGTTCCGCGTTCCCAACCAACAACACCAAACTTAAGCAATATGGAACTCCCGAGACTAACTTGCAGACCAGGGGGTCGCAGTCATAATTCAACGGACACACATATAGAGTCATCTAGATGACAACACGTATGCCCACCACAACATGGTACCTCCAAGCCCTACACGAAGAGCAACCCTACCTTCCGAAACCTTATAAACCCTAAACCCTACCTTCCTACCCTGGTCAAAGCCTGCAGGCAGCTGAGAAGCCACTGACACCAGAGAAGAAAGCCGACAAAGATGAGGACGCCGATCCTGCAGGGTTTGGAGTTCAGGGCGTGTTTAGGGTTGCTGAATGGCAGAGTCTGTTAGGGTTAGGGTTAGGGTATGTTAGGATTTTTAGGTGTAGATTTCAACCAGAGGCTTGAAGCTTTCTGATCTCGTGTGTGCAGTTTTCATCTCGACGTACTGCCGCTACACGTGTACCACGCAACCCCGCCCAAGTCAGCCGTATCCCTGCCGCACAATCTGAAGTTGGCTCAAAGCTTCTTGAGACCTCCTTGAGCCCTGAATGCTCCTTATAGTTTGGATGTTTGGCATGGCAGGGGTCTAGGGTTGAGGTGCTTCAGGGTTTACCTGTAGTCTGCATTGTTGTTCCTTTCTGGGGTTACCTTATCGGATCCTTCATGGTCTTAGTGCTGATGATGTTTGGTTTTCTGTTGGCTGGTGGTTAGGCACTGGTTTCCAGGACCGGTACAATGTAGGGCGAAACAGCCCCAGAGCCTTACCCACAAACACGACCTCTGCCCTGAGGGTCTAAGTGCCCAGCAGGGCTTCTGGCACCAAGATCCCATGAAAGGCTTCGTCTCCTGTCGAGGTAGCAGCTCAGGGAGCCAAGGCTCAAAGAAGCAACCTCACCGAAAAAGCTCGGATACCCGGCCAAGTGTAGTATGTGGGTCTCAACAGATACGCCGCTACTTAAAGAACCCTCTAGGTAGGCCCTACAAGGCTCCCTTCTCATAGCAAGACCTACAACCGCACCGGTTCGCCTTCAGCTGTGAACGTCGACACCCTAAAACCCAACCAGCCCAGCAATTTTCCCAAGAAGCCTTACATGGTTTTGTAGGGTTAGGGGCTTTAAGGGTTTAGGCTTAAGCGTTTGCGGTGTTGTTCCTTCAACCCTGTATGAACCCGAAAGTACACGCGGCTAAGTACTTACCCGGGCTTCTTGGACTTTCCGTGAGGCCTCAGTCAGGAAGGCAAAGAGCGCCGACATCAAGCTGCCGCTGTCATGCAGTTGGATGTGACAGGGCTTACAATGCTAAGCCCTTAGCCCCAGACTTCTAAACCCTACGGTTATGGCGGTTTAGGGTTCGCACGTTGAGACTCTTTGCCAGCAACGCTGAGCTTCAGAGCGTGGCCACACTCACAGCTCATCTGCAAAAGGGTTCAGAGTTGGGGTGGGGCTATGGTGATGGGCACAG